ATGCTATATTTTTATCATTATTCTGGATTAAAATTATAAATAGTCGTGAATCTGATAAATCTCTAGCGTAAACCTGAACTTTTTTTGTCCACAACTTTTGGGCTAACTCAGTTCAGGTCTATGAATGAAATTGGGGAAATATAGGGTTTAAAACAGAATAGAGCCTCAATAAATAGCACATTGCTATATTTTTTATCATTATTCTGGATTAAAATTATAAGTAGACGTGAATCTGATAAATCTCTAGCGTAAACCTGAACTTTTTTTGTCCACAACTTTTGGGCTAACTCAGTTCAGGTCTATGAAAGAAATTGGGGAAATATAGGCTTTAAAACAGAATAGAGCCTCAAAATATAGCACATGCTATATTTTTATCATTATTCTGGATTAAAATTATAAATAGTCGTGAATCTGATAAATCTCTAGCGTAAACCTGAACTTTTTTTGTCCACAACTTTTGGGCTAACTCAGTTCAGGTCTATGAATGAAATTGGGGAAATATAGGCTTTAAAACAGAATAGAGCCTCAAAATATAGCACATGCTATATTTTTATCATTATTCTGGATTAAAATTATAAGTAGACGTGAATCTGATAAATCTCTAGCGTAAACCTGAACTTTTTTTGTCCACAACTTTTGGGCTAACTCAGTTCAGGTCTATGAAAGAAATTGGGGAAATATAGGCTTTAAAACAGAATAGAGCCTCAAAATATAGCACATGCTATATTTTTATCATTATTCTGGATTAAAATTATAAATAGTCGTGAATCTGATAAATCTCTAGCGTAAACCTGAACTTTTTTTGTCCACAACTTTTGGGCTAACTCAGTTCAGGTCTATGAATGAAATTGGGGAAATATAGGCTTTAAAACAGAATAGAGCCTCAAAATATAGCACATGCTATATTTTTATCATTATTCTGGATTAAAATTATAAATAGTCGTGAATCTGATAAATCTCTAGCGTAAACCTGAACTTTTTTTGTCCACAACTTTTGGGCTAACTCAGTTCAGGTCTATGAATGAAATTGGGGAAATATAGGCTTTAAAACAGAATAGAGCCTCAAAATATAGCACATGCTATATTTTTATCATTATTCTGGATTAAAATTATAAATAGTCGTGAATCTGATAAATCTCTAGCGTAAACCTGAACTTTTTTTGTCCACAACTTTTGGGCTAACTCAGTTCAGGTCTATGAATGAAATTGGGGAAATATAGGCTTTAAAACAGAATAGAGCCTCAAAATATAGCACATGCTATATTTTTATCATTATTCTGGATTAAAATTATAAATAGTCGTGAATCTGATAAATCTCTAGCGTAAACCTGAACTTTTTTTGTCCACAACTTTTGGGCTAACTCAGTTCAGGTCTATGAAAGAAATTGGGGAAATATAGGCTTTAAAACAGAATAGAGCCTCAAAATATAGCACATGCTATATTTTTATCATTATTCTGGATTAAAATTAAAATAGTCGTGAATCTGATAAATCTCTAGCGTAAACCTGAACTTTTTTTGTCCACAACTTTTGGGCTAACTCAGTTCAGGTCTATGAAAGAAATTGGGGAAATATAGGCTTTAAAACAGAATAGAGCCTCAAAATATAGCACATGCTATATTTTTATCATTATTCTGGATTAAAATTATAAATAGTCGTGAATATGACAAATCTCTAGCGTAAACCTGAACTTTTTTTGTCCACAACTTTTGGGCTAACTCAGTTCAGGTCTATGAAAGAAATTGGGGAAATATAGGCTTTAAAACAGAATAGAGCCTCAAAATATAGCACATGCTATATTTTTATCATTATTCTGGATTAAAATTAAAATAGTCGTGAATCTGATAAATCTCTAGCGTAAACCTGAACTTTTTTTGTCCACAACTTTTGGGCTAACTCAGTTCAGGTCTATGAAAGAAATTGGGGAAATATAGGCTTTAAAACAGAATAGAGCCTCAAAATATAGCACATGCTATATTTTTATCATTATTCTGGATTAAAATTATAAATAGTCGTGAATCTGATAAATCTCTAGCGTAAACCTGAACTTTTTTTGTCCACAACTTTTGGGCTAACTCAGTTCAGGTCTATGAAAGAAATTGGGGAAATATAGGCTTTAAAACAGAATAGAGCCTCAAAATATAGCACATGCTATATTTTTATCATTATTCTGGATTAAAATTAAAATAGTCGTGAATCTGATAAATCTCTAGCGTAAACCTGAACTTTTTTTGTCCACAACTTTTGGGCTAACTCAGTTCAGGTCTATGAAAGAAATTGGGGAAATATAGGCTTTAAAACAGAATAGAGCCTCAAAATATAGCACATGCTATATTTTTATCATTATTCTGGATTAAAATTATAAATAGTCGTGAATATGACAAATCTCTAGCGTAAACCTGAACTTTTTTTGTCCACAACTTTTGGGCTAACTCAGTTCAGGTCTATGAAAGAAATTGGGGAAATATAGGCTTTAAAACAGAATAGAGCCTCAAAACATAGCACATGCTATATTTTTATCATTATTCTGGATTAAAATTATAAATAGTCGTGAATATGACAAATCTCTAGCGTAAACCTGAACTTTTTTTGTCCACAACTTTTGGGCTAACTCAGTTCAGGTCTATGAAAGAAATTGGGGAAATATAGGCTTTAAAACAGAATAGAGCCTCAAAACATAGCACATGCTATATTTTTATCATTATTCTGGATTAAAATTATAAATAGTCGTGAATCTGATAAATCTCTAGCGTAAACCTGAACTTTTTTTGTCCACAACTTTTGGGCTAACTCAGTTCAGGTCTATGAAAGAAATTGGGGAAATATAGGCTTTAAAACAGAATAGAGCCTCAAAATATAGCACATGCTATATTTTTATCATTATTCTGGATTAAAATTATAAATAGTCGTGAATATGACAAATCTCTAGCGTAAACCTGAACTTTTTTTGTCCACAACTTTTGGGCTAACTCAGTTCAGGTCTATGAAAGAAATTGGGGAAATATAGGCTTTAAAACAGAATAGAGCCTCAAAACATAGCACATGCTATATTTTTATCATTATTCTGGATTAAAATTATAAATAGTCGTGAATATGACAAATCTCTAGCGTAAACCTGAACTTTTTTTGTCCACAACTTTTGGGCTAACTCAGTTCAGGTCTATGAAAGAAATTGGGGAAATATAGGCTTTAAAACAGAATAGAGCCTCAAAACATAGCACATGCTATATTTTTATCATTATTCTGGATTAAAATTATAAATAGTCGTGAATATGACAAATCTCTAGCGTAAACCTGAACTTTTTTTGTCCACAACTTTTGGGCTAACTCAGTTCAGGTCTATGAAAGAAATTGGGGAAATATAGGCTTTTAAACAGAATAGAGCCTCAATATATAGCACATTGTATCAGAAAAAACTTGACTCATTGCAGCAAATTCCCTTTCATGGGAGCCGCATTAAATTGAAATAGGATTTTCGTTCATCCTATATATGCTCAGTAGGTAGATCGGCTGAGATACGCCTTGAAATATTCAACACACCCGTGTTTCCACGGCTGGCAGTTGGGCGAGTGCGAGAGAGAAAGAGCGCGCGCGTTATATTGCAGCAGGAGCACAGCCGGCGGCTCACGTTTGTGTGTTTTTTGCGCAGGAAAAACTAAGAATTTGTGTCGTGCACCTTCCTTCGAATGCTGCAATAACAGTAAAGAAAGCTCAGTCTGCGTGTGTGATGTTTACGGCGGCGTTTTGCGCTGCACACAATATGCCGCTGCGGCTTCCCTTTTGCTCGCGTGCCGCCGCCGTAAATAAAATATTCGCATCCGTGCACTCGCCCTGTTTTGATCACTTATTCAGGACGAGCCGACGTCAGTCAGCAGGCGGCCATTATTTTGTCATTATTGCGGCTGCAGACGCTGCAGAAATTGGCCTGTAAATTTTTAGAGCTGCTGTGGCGCGCGCCAGCGAGCGATGAGATTGCTTTGTTTAGTGCGAGTCGGAATGGAAGTGAAAACAGGTCTGCCGAGAGCAAATTGGAACAAATCGCGGCAATATCTTTTCTTGATTTGCGCGATAACGAGTAGTGCAATATTGGCCCAAAAGAAAAAGAGTCATATTGTTCAGAAATGGGGAAATTTCTATCACAAATTGACAAAGAAAAAATAAAAAAATTGATATCATAAAAATAAATTAAAATTACTTTAAATCAAGTAATTTTGATGATCGTTTTGGAGAAAAAACAAAATAATAAGATTTAAACAGTCACAAGAAGTATAAAAAGGTGCCTTACTGGTGCCTTATAGAGATTTTTTAGAGATAGCTCTAGTCAATTTAGTTAAATAGACAACTAAACTTTGATTAAATTGTTAAAATAAAACATTGAAAAATAATGAAGTATTAAATAAAATTTTTAAAATTGTTTCTGAAAAGTGACAAAACAAATTATATTTAATTTAATTAATTATTTAAGCGGCTAAAAAGATTTAATATAATGGTCGCTTACTTACTATTATTTTTCACCCATATTTAGAGTTTCATTTTTTGTTAAATCATCCATTTAACTGTAATTAAAATAATTTAACACTTTAAATTAATTGTCTTCCTGTATTTAATGTACAAAAGCTATTATCCCCAATAACAGTTTCCAAGACGTAAATGTAATTAAAATTGCACATTAAATGCACTATCCATTCTGTTTAATTCCCCTCCAAAGCATTCTTTTCCGTCTTTTCCCGACGGTCAGCCTGCAATTAAAGCGGAAAGAGAGCTATTAAAGCAATCTTAATTATCACGCGCGGCGGGAAAGAAAACCAATATTGAGCAAAGAAGAGCGGTGGGAAGCATTTTAATTTGGTCCTCGTTGCAAAGGCGAAACTAAATTAAATCGGGCCCTGAGGACCTCTCGACTCGAAACCTGACCAGCGCGATTTAATAAAGCAGCCTCAAATCTCGCGCTCCGCCGCGGGCGCCGCACCAAGAAAGAGAGAAAATGCGGCAGCTGGCGAGGAAGACGAAGAAGCAGAAGCGACACCCCCTTAGGTTCTTCATCTGTCTCCGGGACTAATAGACGGCCGCGTGTCGCTCCGTCCGGTGCAAAAATATTCGTGAGAATTCGAGCCGCTGACTCTAATTGATTCCGCCAACCTCGCAAGATGGGTGAGTGCATTCGCATCTCGATTTTCAATCAACCTAAGTGAAAAAAAACCCGGCTCGGCCGATTCTTCTCTCCATATTTCCTCCGAGAGGCCGAAAAGGGCCGCTCTCTAAAAATAGCTCTAAAACATGGAGGGCGAGAGCACATGGCCGCTCTGAATAACCATGTGTGTGCTGCTGCAGCCGGATAATGGACGGGAAAAATTCATTCCGACGCACACAGAATCCGAGTTGAAATATATATTTGCCTTTTGGGTAGTCCAACCGAGCGGCCTCTCATTTGCCAAATTGCAAAAGCCGCGCGTGTGTGCGCGTTTGATTTGATTTCCGCCACGGCTCGGCGTGCATAGCGATGAACAGACTGACGTGTACATATATCCAATTTGCAGCAAACCGCAAGCAAAGACTGGCCGGATTTGCAAATCAGTAGCCAGAGAGTCAAAATAAAAATTCATATATTATATATTTATTGTACGCAAGAGAATTCCATTCGGGAAATGCCCCAGGAATCAGGATGATAAGTTTTGGTGATGTTATGTATTTGATATGTAGCTCGTGCGAAAACTGTGACTGGATTCTCAAGCATTTAAAGGTAATTTTAATGAATTTGATTTTTCGCCATTACGTGCTTACTCCTTTTTACTGTTGCTCTATTGATTTAAGGAAATCCTCACTGAGATGTAATTTTTTGAGCGCGCCTCGTTTCGTAGTTACATATTTATAGTTCAAGAAAATGAAAAATAAATAATTAAATAAGTTAAAAAGAATTCCATTTTAACGTCTAATGTAAAATATTTTACAAAAGAAATAGATGGCAAGAGGTTCAAAAATAATTTTTTATTTATTAAAAATTATCATTTTCTGTTGGACAAGAACGATATTTACAGAGAAAATATTTTTATTCCGTAAAATATCTCAATTTTCATTTTTATCAAGCAAAAATCACTCATTTTTATTAAATTATATTAAAATTGTACCCCTGCATAGTTAGTTTAGCTGTCATTTTAGAATCCTAAATGTGTTTAATTATTAATTCAATCTACGAAAAATTGAAATCAAAACTACTGGTTCCTGAATTATTACAAAGCATAAAAAAAATATTTAAGCTGTGGGAGTTTGAAAAAATGTTTCCATTCATCCACCTCTTCATTTTTATTAAAAAGCAGGATAATTTTCATTTCATGTTGTGAATTCCCGAGCTACAAAAAAGTGCAAAATGGTATCAGCCGGTTAAACTTCTCTGGCCAAAAATTCATTTTTTGGAGTTATTGTTTTTGCGAGACCGTCCAGGCGCACCGAAAAGCCGGCTAATTTTTCATGCTCTCGTGTGCGCGCGGGTATAATAATAGCTCTGTAAATAATGGAGGAAAGAATTGATGGCGGGCTTAAAAACGGAGCGAGTCCTGCGTGCATATTGGGCCGCGCGTTAGAAATCAATTGCACGCCGCTTTTAATCGGCTTACACCTGCTGCCGCAGGGATAATCCCGGCACTCATCAATCGCACAACAAATAAACGCGAAGCAGAGCTTTGCCAATCCATATTTATCGAGTGGTGGTGATTCGCAGGCAAGCCGCGTGGTTTGAGGACGGCCAGGAAGCACAAGGATCACCGCAAAGACCAACGCTGGTGCGACAACGACTACAAGAAGGCACATCTGGGCACCAGATGGAAGGCCAACCCTTTCGGTGGAGCGTCACATGCCAAGGGAATCGTACTCGAGAAAGTGTAAGTGAACTTAATTCCGACCGACCGAATCCAACCATTACGACAATTTCATGCAAATCCAGATTAGAAACGAGAATATTATTTAAGAGGGCCATTTACACTTTTTTCGGAGCTAGTTGTAAATTTATGCATTCATTACACTTATTGTTAAAGGTTTAATTATTAATTTTTTTAGTTTAGGTTCTATTAAAATTATAAAAAAAATGAAGATTGAGTAGACAAATTAACTTAAAAATTTAAATATTCATTATCTAATATTATTTAATATCATTATTTAATATATTCACAAATTATTTCAATTTGCAAAGTAAAATGGTTTTTGATTGAGCAAAAAGCAATTAACCTGAATGTGTGTGTTTAATTACGCATTTGAAAACACAAAAAGGACTCAGAAATGCGATTGGTTAAATGTAGAACAAACAAGGGCAAAATTCAATTTACGCTCGGCGCTAAAATTGAATGCAGCCCAATTAGCACGGCACTTTCGGCTGCCGACTCGGCGAATTTCTCACAACCAGCAAACTCATGAGAACGCGCGCGGCAAAGTATTGCTGAACGAACCCAATTTGCACCGGAGCAGACGAGCGATTTTCTCACGAATTTTGTTACAGGGGCGTGGAGGCGAAACAACCCAACTCGGCTATCAGGAAGTGCGTTCGAGTGCAGCTCATCAAAAACGGCAAGAAAGTGACCGCGTTTGTCCCTCGCGATGGATGCCTCACCTACATCGAGGAAAACGACGAAGTCTTGGTTGCTGGATTTGGCCGAAAGGGTCACGCCGTTGGAGACATTCCCGGTGAGAATATAGTCAATCAATTTGAATTTTAATCACTTTTTTCTCTCTCAATTCAAATCATAATTTTTTTAGACATAATTAGAAATTTTTTACCATGATTTTCCAAATTAATTCAAAATTTGTCAAGGATCATCCATAAATGATTAATTTTGAGCCCAATACTAAATTAATATTATTTTAAATAATAAAAATAAAAATAAAACTATCCTATTTCATGAAAAAAGGGTTTCAATTATTATTAAAAACTGACAAAAAGGGATCCAAAATATTTCATCGCCCTTAACAATATAATAAAAGCTAAAAATGGCCCCTTTTGCTTCCATTTTTTCGTTTTTAATTCAGAATAAGCGTTCCCTGGAGGGACCATTTTTCACTAAAACAGAAAAATCAATCATAAAATGCTTTTTTTATTGTCGTTTTTAAATTTTAACAAAGTTGCAAAAGTTCTCCAGGGAACAATCACACGTCGTGCCGTTAAAATTAATACTGCACGACGCAAAAAGTTAGTTCACCTGGGCGAGAGAGAGTCTCTTTTTTTGTCGCACTTTGCCGGCGACGACACCAAGTGTCAACGAAAACAAAAGTTGAGGCAGCTTGTTAAAAAATTCATCCGTTTTGCAGGTGTGCGCTTCAAGGTAGTCAAAGTGGCCAACGTGTCCCTGTGGGCGCTTTACAGGGGCAAGAAAGAGAGGCCCCGCTCCTAAATAACCCAACGCAACTGTCAATGGTGTAATCAAAAGAGAGAGAAAATAAAACGCACAAAAACTTTTTACAATAAATCACTTCTTGTGTGACAGCGCTCGTCGTCATCCTTTCTCCCTTTTTTCCATCGCACAAGAGAGAGAGTGAGGGGGTGGGTTGAGAGAGAGAGATGAAATTATTGCAAACAGAATAAAAAAAAAGAGGAAAAAAGAAGAAGTTGGGCGCTGTAGACTTTTAATTGGACTTTTGCCCCTCGAAAGGCAGGGAGGCGCCGAGCAATCGGCCGACGAGTTTTCTTTTCATTTCGCAGAGACGGCGGCAGCAGGGCGGAACTGCCCTCGGCGAAAAAGTTCTTTCTCTGTCGGCTTTTTTGTGTAGTGAAATATTTATTAATTTTATTGATTCTTCTCTGAATTGTTGAATGCCATCGGTCTTTTTGTCGGTGGCGCTTTGTATCTGTCGCGGAACACGAGCGGTTTTTGTTGCAGAGGAAGAAGACGAGGAATTTCTCATTTCGATGCAGATTCATCTCGTTTCACACAAAACGGGCTCTGCGTGATTGATTCCTAATTATTTATGGTAATTTCATTAATGAGATAAGAGTGTGTAAAAATCAACATAATTTGATTAAAAATGAGACAGATCTGGAATTAATGAAACCAATTAAAAATAAGAAAATCTGGTAGCTATTCTAGGAAAAAGGCGTGCATTGATTTTTAGAATTTTCATTTCCTAAATTTTCAATTCAATTCACATTTAAATTAATTTTAATACTGATAAAAAAGATGCAAAAAGCAGGATAAGAAAATTTAGTGTTTTTAAGTTTTTAATTGGAAAGAAAATTATTATTTTTACAAAGAAATATATTTAAATATGTTAAGCAGTTAATTGAAGCTATAAAATTATTAAATAATGAAATATTTTATTATCTTGTTCCATCTATAGTGTTTTTTTTTATAATCAATTACGTATTTAATTTTCGTTCAAATGCGTTTTTAACATTTTCTTTCCCTTTTTATCATAATCAGATTTATTTATGTCGTTTTAGAATTACACGAATGTGAAAGCCCTCCGCCTACATAAGTTTTTACTTTCTTCATATTCAGATGAGCAGAAAGAAACTCTTTAAATTTACTCTCGAGGGCGTCGCACTTAAAAAAATGGTTGAAAACTTTGTGTGCGTTGTGTATTCATATTAAAAAAGTGAAAGTTCCGAGTTTATTTTCATTACGGCCAACTTCTTACAACGCCAAGGAGCAGCTTAATTAACTTCCCCTTGTAGTTGTTGCAGCCTTGTGCTGTATGTACATATTTATGTATATCATCACGTTGAGCCTGGCCGGGTTGCAATAATTTGAATAAAGATCAAAGGCGCAAACAACGGGCAAAGGAAAAAGAACCGCCTTCCTGCTTTTTGATTATCATCCCTGCCGGTGTATATAATTTTTTTTGCAAACACAAAAGTTGCAAAGAAAAATAGACATGATTCTCTGCGGGTGTGTTTTTCGCATAAGGCGGCCGGGGTGTGACGTGGAATTATTGTTATTACGCGACTTGCCATTAAAACACACGGTCGCGTGGATCTCGTTCAGCAAGCATCTCTTCTTTCCGCTTTTTTTCCGGGGAGAAAAATGAGGCCGACGCGCGGGAAAGAAGACTTTATGGCCCTTATTTCGTGCGTGTGCACCGCAAAAGCAAAAAGAGCAGACGCGGCTTGCTTTATACTTCCATACTTTGCTGCTGGGAAAGTGAATCGTATATAATTGGTCTTTTCCCGGCGCACTTTTGAATAATTGTTTTGAGTAAAAAAGGCCGCGCGGTAATTAATTGGCCGGGAAAAAATGGCGTGCGTGTAGAGCATGCTAATTTGTCCGGGAAATTAATCGGCGCAAATCTGCGCAAGAAAAGGAGCTGCAAAATGAACAGAAGGCCTCGGGAGAAATCGGCCCGGCGTGAATTAATTCCGAATGTGCTCCTTTGCGTTTGGTGGAGCCGCTTTTTGCCAGCACTCGATCTTGGATTAAGTGAGAACGCAGCGGACGAATTTCACACGATGATTTATTTCGCAAGTTTTTGTGTCTGCTGATCGGATGGTCGTCATCTTTTATCACGTTTTTGCCCCTTGCGAGAGCCATGATTTGCCACACTTTGAGAGGACTGATTTGTGGATCGCGGGATCGCGCCATGACCCTTGAATTACATTCGAAATGTCAAAAGTTCCCAAGAGTGAGATCGTTTGTAGGTCCCTAGGTGACTTTTGATAAGAGAGCTGAATCGTTTGTTTACCAGAAATGGGAGCGACATTGTCTCCAAGTGTGTGGAGGGGGCGAAGGAGATCACAAATATATAACGCGTACTTCTGGATTTAAAAATTTAAATGCACCTTAAAAACTTGTTGAATTTGAACGAGTAATTTCTGTTTCAAATAGAAATTCGAATGAGTTTGAAATTAAAGTGAAAATCCTTCCAGAAAAATAGTTTTGAAAGTTTGAAGATATAGGAAGAGTCAACTTTTGTCATAAATAATTAGCAATTTTAATTTTGATAGAACCATTGCTACTGAATTTTATTTTAACGAAGCAAAAAAGTTTGTAAAAACAAAATAAATAAATCTTTATTGCAGAAATCGATATAAAAAATAGCGTCATTATTTTCTTTAAAAGTGATACTTATAAAGTTAAACCACGCTTTAAGAATCAATCAACCTGCAAATCCCAATATTTGCTTCTAAAATTGAAGCCCAGATGTATAAAGAGAATGTTTTAATTCGCAAGTTTGGTTTAACATAATTTACGGATAATTCTTCGTTTTACGTAAATTTTTTTCTTCCAAATTTCTGCCACTTTTAATTTTCAGTCGGCACTTTTCCGGCGAATAAAAGCGACGCTGTGACGAGCGGCGCGGCATGATTTATTCAAAGAAAACGCTTTAAAACTAATTGTAAGCACCGTTTACGCAATCTGCTTTTGGGCGACAAAAGCCAAAAGCTCTTCTTCTCCGCGCTTTTCACTCGCCGGCGAGAACAAAAGGGAGCTCTCGTCCGAAAACACATTTTCGCACTGGCAGCAGAGACAATGTTTAATGCCGGCGCAAATTCCGGCCATTTGCGACTTTGTCTTATTTCTTATTGCGTTGTTTGTACTCACGTCTGTCGAGGAAGCGAAAGGTGCCCATGAAGCCTGAGTTGTTGCTCGGTTTGTGGTCGGTGTGGAATTCGAGGACGGCGGCGTGGCCGGTGCTGAAGAGTCGGTGCGGCAGGTCCGACAGCTCGCCGCACAGCACGTGACTCCACGACGACTTTTCGTTCACCTCGCCGCTCTTTTCCAGATGCAGGAATGCTTTCACGTGGTCACCACGAATGCAACTGAAACAAATGAAGCTTCGGTCAACAACAATAATTTATTCTCACGATCATCAATCTTTTAGAATAGAAAAAGCAAATTGAATAAAAAACAAATAGGGCCATGGAAATTAAAAAAAAAAAAAATTATTAAAATAGCCCCATCACTAGGGAAAAGGTTTTTCTGAGGGTGAGGAATGGTTTTTAATTTTCTAAAGTTACAAATTTTCCAAACTTTTCTCTAAATGCAATTCAAAGTTCGACAACGAAAAAGGGAAGTTTTGATTGCCCTTGTTTTAATTTTTCTTTCATTCTTCAAGCGGATTAATAGGGCCATATTTTAGCATTTGACCTTTTTATTCCCATTTTATATGCTTTGAAGTGATAATTTTTCTCCATCTTTTTGTGTTAATAAAATCATAGTAAGCCCAATTCATTTTAATTAATGACCCAAATCCAAATTGCTGATGACACTCATTATAATTTTTCTGCCGCGGCGTTGCTTTTCCGCCGCGATGGCTTTCAATCAGATTATGAGACGCTCTTTGAGCCCTGATGAAATTAACTCTTGCGAGCCAATTTTCCCTTCATAATGATAATAGGTCGGCTACTGAGCGAGCGAGATGCGACCCGTCACTCATTCAAGCGCTTGGTCTCCATGACGACGCCAAGATGCGATTATTAAAAATTGCAATTTTTCACGCAAATTTGCTTTGAAATGTGGAAGTCTTGGCGGATATTGCAAACTGAGTGAGCGGTCGTATCCAATTGCGGAGAAAAACGAAGAGGCGGAGGCGCGTGGGGGAGTTTTTTCTCCTTCGTAAATTTGTAATGGAAAGACAGAAAGAGTGAAATATCTGACAAGACAAAGACATATTACGGTAGTTTTTGCTTTTTTTCATAATAACGGGAAAGTTTTGCAATTATTTTTTAACTTTTTCATGATATTATTTCAAAAGATAATATTATTTTATCATTTTTAATATTATTTAAATTTACAAATTTAGTTTTATTCCAACATTTCTTACATTTAAACGATTGCCAAGAGAAAAATTGTTTTGAATTCAAATTTTATTTTTTCAGATTTTTCTTGTGAATATTTAACTGTAAGAAAACAGTTTTATAACAATAAAATAATAATAAAAAAATAAAACAACTTTTGGCCAGTAAATAATGCCCGACAAAACATTGCAGCAAACGAAAATCAAGAGTGGAAGGATTGTCTTGGGGTTCGTTGGGTTTATCCGGCTGGCAGATCATCTATCAGCACCAACAAATGGCACGCGCTCCATTCGTCTCGTTTGTTCTGCAAACGCGCGTGCTTCTGACGTGCAGGCAAATGATGCGTTATCGACCTTGTGTACAATCGCGCGAAAATAGAGAGACTTACGATTCCATCTCTTCCGACGGGGCGGAGGAAGTTTGGAGAAAAAGACGGGAAGACGGGCCGCCGGCGGAAACAATAAAATCTGCTTCTCCGTTATAATCCGTCGCAGTTCTTGCGAATCACGCCGGAATCAGTTATGTGTTCTCGCCGCTTTCGGACAGTTTCCGCCTGTTTATTTACGTTAATATATGTCTTGCATTTTGATAAATTATGAACTCCTATAATTATTCAGAAAAGGTTAAAATTTAAAATTATATTAAAAAAATAATCCTGAAATCCCATTAATTAAATATTTTTATAGTTTTAATGAGGAAATTTACAACCTTCAGTTCTCAATCTTTATAATAAATGATAAATCTATTCAAATAAAAAAACAAATGTGTGTACCGAAAGTTTTGAAATATTCTTTGATAAATAAAAACATTTTACTAAACAGGAAAGAGTTGCTTTATAATTTAAAGCATAATTTAAACACAATTTATAAATAATATCAGAATCATTTTTAAAAAGAAAAATTAAAAAATTTAAGTGCCCAGACGATTTTTAGTAACACACGTATAAAATTTTATAATAAATTTTAGCTTGCTCGGCCTAGAAACCATACTAATCTGTGAAGTAGTGCAATCTAATTTCCTATGGTGTGGCAAAAACCAGCACCTATACATCTTCCTCGTCGAGGTCTGCGAATTGGCGCGAGATTGGCCGGCCGAGAGCTAGCGATTTCCAATATCAAGCCGAGAGTGACGTTTGTCTTTCGCCGGCAGCTGTATATGTGTGTGTAAGGAAGGAGCTTTAAAAGAGGAATTATCGATTAAAGCTAGAGCTGCGGCCGCAGGAATTTAATCTCGGCGAACGAACGGAGGAAAAGATGAACAAGTTATATATGAAGTGGTGACGCGCGCTAAAAAGCTGCCGTCGGCGGGTCTCGTACTTTTGCAAATGACAAATTTCAAGGTTCACGTCACACCGCGCACCCTTTCCATTAGCATTCCATCAACTTTTTGAAAAGGGTCGCTCTCGTCAAATGAGACTGGCAACTTGGCTGGCTAATTTATCTGCTCAATGAGACGCGAAATGGATCAGTCGACACAACATCTGCAGAGCAGCAGGGCCTTGTATCAAAGGCAACTGCGATTCACTTACGCCCGATCAAATTTCGCCCCGACGACTCTGCGACACCCGGCAAAAGCCAATTCGGCCTCAAGAGCAGGGAAATGGGATCGCACCCGACTTTATGTGCCACTGATTCCGCAGACGTCGCTGCGGTGAACTCCCGAGTCTCTTGCTTGATCGCTCGCTCGCGCAACCAAAGGGTTATGTGCCTCTTCAAAATGGTTTAATAAACCCCGCCGTGTTCAATTCCATATTCGTAGTGCCAGTTGACGTACGTGAACGCCAATTCAAAAGTTGTCTGAAAACGATTTAATACTCTGTGACTCGACTACTTGGCAAGTGTATATTAGGGATAAGATTTGTCCAAGTTTAGCACGTAAATTTACTCAATTTTGATAAGATTTAACATTCATCCTTCACAACTCTATGTATACTTATAATAAAAATTAAAAATAGAGAAGAAATTATTTTTTTCGCAAGGTATAAACACATTTAAAAAAGTTAAACAATCAAATATGAAAGGAAGAATTGGAGAAGCCACAAAAAAATTATGTTGACAACTCAATAAAATATTTGCAGCTCAATTGGTGTTTAAGTGAGTGACAAGTAATAAGAACAAAAACTTAGTCAACCAAGGCTCAATGCGACGGTAGTGGTCTTTTAGATCTCGGAAGTTTTATTGTTAGTAAAATTGTTGCTAGTGGTGGTGCCGTTTTATCACGAACAATTGCTTGTTTTGAAAGAATTTGTATTCCAACAATGTATTGCAATAATGTGGACAAATAAACAACAAAAATTAAACAAATTAATTATAAAAATTTTGCAAATCAATTCATACTAGAATTTAAATTCACCTTAAAAATTTTGTAGAATCACTGAGAAATACCAGTTTGCATTTCAGTAATTTATAATTAAAATTAATTAATTTAAAAAAAGAAAACTATCACCCCGATACACTTCAGTGTTAACTAGAATTTGAAACCATGTGTTTAATTTTGCCATTTGTCCATTTATTCAACAGATTTAGATATAAAAATGCCATGAAAAAGGAAATTTTATCAAAAGAGGGTGCAATTTTCTAATTAAATTTTTAGGCTCAAATATTTCAATTTATTTTTTTCTTATTGTTAGAAATGAAAAGTGAAGGAATTTTTACCTGCACAATTTCTCCTCAAACTTAATTTGAGTGAGATCATTGAAAACATTAAAATTGTAAAAAAAATCCAACTAGTTTTTATTAAAAAAGATTGTAAAGGCGAGTGAATTTTGCGGAAAAAAAACAAAGGGCTGCTCCACTCTAATAATTTACAACACGAGCGGCGGGGACTAGAGGCGTGCGTGTGGTTTATGGGTCGGAAAAGTGAAATCCGCGCCCGGCGCGCGCGCGCGATTGAAACTAATTGCCGCTGGAAGTGGAAAAATGAGCCAAATTCCCCAAAGCCAAGACAATAAAAATGCTGCGGTCCGGAATAACAAAGCGAGTAGTCGTTAAAGAATAATGGATTCCGTCACCGGGCTATGTGCGTGGGCGGATTGTTTTGCAAATGTTAATTCGTGCGCCAAATTTTGATCGGCTGTTTTCCGGCAAGAATGTTCCTCTCCACTGATTTTTCCCCCTCTTTCACTTTCTCGTCGCAAAATATTTTCCACCGGTGATCAAAGGCGACCCGAAATTCCTCCCTGGCAAAATATCATTCACAGAGTCGCCAATTTGTACACGTGAGTTTTTCTGAATGTCCTCTCAGTGTAACGTGTGCAAAGTGGTTATCGTCAAAGACTCAATTAAGTGCAAAGTTTGCCTCGTGGCCATCGCTCACCCGAGTTGTGCCAAAAAACGCCGCGGACCGAATCTCCAGTGGACCTGCAGCGTCTGCAAATCGGACGCCAGCTCGCAGGAGGGCTCCGACGTCGGCGACGACGAGATGCCCCTTGCCGACCAGCTTGCGGCCATGGAGGCCACCTTGCTGGCCGCCTTCAACACGCGCTCGAACGCCATCGAGGAGCGCGTGGCCGCCTCCGAGAAGGCGCTGCTGGAGCGGCTGACCGCTGTCGAGGCCTCCGTCCAATTTCTCAGTTCGCAGTACGACACCCTGCTTAAAGACGTAAAAGAACAAAAGGCCCTGAACGTCGAACTGAGAAAGGGCCTCGATAGCGTGTACGAGAAACTGCACGAAAAAGAAGCGGCCCTGAACCAACTGCAAGGCCGCGTGCACCAACTTGAGCAGTCATCACTGCAAGACGCGGTGGAAGTGCATGGAATGCCTTTCAAGAAAGAGGATGACCCGCGCGCCAAACTGCAAATTCTTGCCGACCTAATCGGAGCACCGCCGGTGTGCGACACCGTGTCGGACGCTTACTGGATTCCCGAGATCCCCCCTCGGGCGTCTGGTGGTCGAGGTCGCGCGGGCTATTGTGTCGTCAAGTTCAAGGCCGAAAGCGCCAGGAAGGCCTGGCTGGGTGGGAAGAAGAATCTGCTGAGGATGACTTGGCCCGAGGGCAGCAGCCAGCCGACCGCTGGTCCCCC